AGTCAGTAAATCACTAAATACACTGTGATCACTGTATCTTCCATTTTCATAGGACCCTTTAACATTTACAAATTGCTTTTACATTGTTACCACATTTGTTCACTACATCTACTAGAAAGGTAGAAATTAATATCCTATTATGAATGAGGTCACTGACATTGCAACAAATTAAAACAAGTTTTCCCAACATCTCATAGCTAGGAAGTCACTTATCCAGGATACTAGCATGTTCTTAGACTTCAAAGGCAGTGTTTGTACCATTAGGTATCAGATGCCTATAACTAAGAGATTATGCTACAGCTGTCTCCGTAGATTAGCTTATCGTTACTTTACACTTATATTACAAATATAGTTGCCATAAAGGTACTCAATGCATGCTATCTGAACTGTCCAAAACCATGGTTACTTATCAAAACTTCATGAACCAAATTGTTGTTAGTATAGTCTTACATATCTATCACTATTCACCATACTATTCCTTCTTTGGAAATATCCTTTGCAGATCTACTTGACAATCTAAATAAATAAAACTTCAATGTCCCAGGTATTGTTTTTTCAAGTTCCACGTTATAAATAATACTACAATCTAAGCTGTTTTTTCTCTGAATCTAATTAGAAATTTAACACACTCATACATACCATAGAATCATACATATGGTCATAGGTTGACAGGAAATCAGTTTTTAGTTTGTAGATAAATGTAACTACAGAACTCAAACCGATTCCTTAAACTTTGAAGCCTCAGTTTCTTATACTATAGTATACTGATTTCATTAAGGGAATCTTGCAAATGAGCAGAACTGTACAATGTAGTATTATTATATTTAGCACATAGTTATTCTATTAATAGCTTAAAAAACATAGGAGAAATTATATGAGCAAACGCAGACATGAGAAAGTAAAGTCAAAGCATGCCTTATATGTATTAACATCACTCAATGCTGATGTTTAAAATAATAATAATTAATAATAATAATAATAATAATAATAATAATAGACAGTACCTCAGGATCCAAAGGTGATTCTACATCTTCCTCTTCTCCTAATTCTAATGCCGACATTTTAACTATAAAATGTAGTTACAGACACATTAATGTGAACACTTATTACTATGAGTTTTAAATACATATATGTCTATTTCCATTCATTAATACTTTAATAAAATAAGAGTAATAACAAAAATATTTCAGAGTGTTGAATTTATGCAAGAAGAAAAAGTTGGTAGTAGTTGGGATACTGTTGAAGAATGAGAGCAAAAAAAAAATATATATGTATATATATATATATACTTAAAGGAAATGGATCTCATATTTGCATCTACACTCTTCAGATTTGTTTGACCAGCATGTAAGCAGAGAAAAAAATATATAGATATTTGCTAAATTACCACTTGTATTATTTTTACGTGCTCCATCAACATAAGTCAGATTGTCCTTATTTGTTGGCTTTCGTGGAGCGCTTTCATTAATATACATACTATTTTCTTTGTTTCCAAATGCTAGCTTTGTATCTTCTTTCTATAGAAACAAAACAAAACAATAACCCAACTTTAGATATTCATTGACTTGTTCACTCACTCACTCATTCAGTCAGGAAGACAACAAACATTTATTATGTTTATCAAATCACAGGCACTCACCCGAGATTCTAGAAATATAAATAAAAGATTTTGTTCTTTACTGTAGTAGGGGGTAGAGATATATGAAAACAGTAAGCATAGAAAAGTACATTTGCTATTTCTATAACTGAAGTGAATAAAGTACAGTAGGGCACAAAAGAGACATCAGTAATTTGTACCTGGGAAGCTCAGGAAATGCCTCAAAGATTGTATCATGAAAAATAAATGCAGAGAGAGAGTATGAAGGGCATGAAAGGGAAGCATGAGCACAACAAGAAGTATAAGACAACAAGTGAGGGCAACAAGCAAGTGAGGGCATCAAAATAATTTGGTAAGACTGGAACACGGGGAATGGGATGGAGAGAGAAAACTGGAGAGTCACAGCCACAGCGAACAAAGCAAGTGTCATGTTGGCATATGAGTTTCACCCTCAGGTAATGGAGAGCCACTAAATATGCAGAGGAGTTATATCATTACAAACATATTTTACAACAGTCACTTTGGCTACAATGTAAACATGAATATAAGTGAAGTAAACCTAGAGGCTACTGTTTCAAAAATGAAGGTGAGAAAGGGAATTACAATAAGATGTAACATCGGTAAGCAGGAAGAATATATTAAACTTGGTGACTGACTGGATATGATAATTTCAGGGAAGGCTGAAGTCCAGGATTTTTCATGCTTCAGTATTTCAGTGGTGGATTTACTAGGATGGGGAAAACAGATGACAGAGGAGATTACAAAAGTTAGCAAAACGGAAAGTGCCAGGGGCAATGTCTTCAGTTTGGGACATATCAAATTGGAAGCACCCAGAGGACTTAGAAGAAAGTTCTGGATAAACACATTTGGAGTAGGACTAGGTGACCTTACTCAGGAAAAGCGTAGGATGTTAAGAAGATAGATATTTGTAACATATACTAAACTGATACAATTAAGCAATGCAAACCTACACAGAACTTGTGAAATTTTGAAAATGAAAGTAAGAGCAGAGACTATAAACATGAAATTCAATTTTTCAAAAATATATTTCAAATTCTGTTTCAACAATATAAAATACTCTTTTATGGATATAGGCAAATGTTTATTTCTGGGATATTATAGTAAGAAGCATCTTAAGCTTAATGAAAAACATTAGTTGTCAAACACCAAGTCACAATACTACAAGAAGATTCTTTATTAAAAATTAATGTTAAAGGCCAGGTTTTAAATTCTAGAAGAGAGATGCTAAGAGAATTACGAGACTTTTTTAAGTACTGCTATGTTGCATTAAAGAAATATGAATCTCTATTTAAAAATACACATGGTTTCTCACTCCCCCATGAACAGCACACTAATAGCTCTAATTTCCCATCTGTTGTATTTAGCTTGGTAGATAAAGATTGCAGAAAAACATCTTGTGTTAAAAACCTAATAAAACTATACTTATCCCAGTTATCTCAGTTGAAGATTTAAGACTCTTCCAATAGATCTAAGATTATCAAGCAAGGCTGAGTGAAGAAAGAGACTAAAAACTCATGTGACCAGGGTGTCTGAGTTCTAGATATGAAAGAATTTTCAGGTTAGGTTTAACAATCATGAATACCAAAGTTAATAAAATTCCTCATGAGTAATATGAAATGAATAAGTCCACAAATAATAAAATTAATCATTTTAAAGTTAAAACTTCAGTATCATTTAGTACATCCTAAATGTTGTGTAACCATCTTCTCTAATTCCAAAATATATTTTTTTGCCCCAAAAGAAACCCCATTGCCATTAAACGGTCACACCCCATTCTTGCAACCATCAGCCCCAGGCAATCGCTTATCTGTTCCTTGTCTCTATGGATTAATTTATTCTGCATATTTTATATAAAAGGAGTCACACAATAAATATTTTAAAAAGAATTTCTACAGAATAATTTCTGGATATTTTTAGTGTTGCAGCTTAAAATTTATTTTCTCATTTAATGAATAGAGATCAAGATCCTCATGTATATCAGACATTTTCATTATAATTAACATTCTGTCTGTCAAACAGCTAAAAACAAATGATTGTTTGTATTCATTTTCTTCCAAAAAAGAGAGAAAAGAGTAGAAACTTGTGGGGCAAAGATTCATGAATTAAAGCCACGCACATACTAAGTAGAAAACCCTGACCACATATATTGACAATGTTGACAGAGAGAGATGGACTGAAAACAGTCACTGAAGAAATGTTTTCTGTAAAAATAAATTAGGCTAGAAATCAAAAAATTAAAAGTTGAGAGGAGACAGAGAAAAAAATGAGACAGTAGATCAACTACAAGTTTAAGATAAAAAGAGAGAAAAGCATAATTACAAAATGTATGTGGAGAAATAATTTCAGTATATATATATTTATATCAGTAATACATCAGTATTAATAGGAATATATTATAAAAAGCCACTGTTTTACATATTTTATTATATCTCTTTGTAACATAGATTTAGTGAAAGAGAACTTAAATTTCTAAATTTAACTGTGTTACACCAACATAAAAAATGTGAAGATAAACAAACAAACAAACTCTGCACTGTATGCTACATCATTTTGGAACTGAAGGCACTAAGACATTCTTATGATTATTACAATTCGTAATTGGATCCATGAAAGATCTGACTCTGGGTGATGAACATACAATGCATATACAAATGATGTGTTATTGAATTGTACACTTAAAACATATAATTTGAACCAATGTCCTCCCAATAAATACAATTTTTTTCTATATAGATAGCTTTATAGAGTGCTGTCATTTTATTTATTTATTTATTTATTTATTTATTTATTTATTTATTTATTTATTTATTTATTTGACCTTGTCAGCTTACAATCCCTTATTTTTTATTTTTTAATTTTTTTTATGCCTACAGCATCTGGTCTTCCTAGGTGGTCTCCTATTCAAGTACTAACCAGGCCCGACCCTGCTTAGCTTCTGAGGTCAGACGAGATCGGGCTTGTTCATGGTAGCATGGCCGTAGATCCAATAAATATAATTTTAATAAAATTTTATTTAGATATGAGTATTATAAAAGTCAAGATAGTATAATTTAAAAGTCGCATTAAAAATTCTTGTTGCTGACTAAATATTATATCTCCAACATGGTGAGAAAAATTTTCCCCAAATATAATTTTTTTATCACCATGTTTTTTTTTAACCAATTCTTAACTTCAGCCCTCACTTTCGGGACTTACTAAAGTAAACAAACACACATGTACACACACAACTAGTGATATTTTTATAAAATGGTTTCCTCTGACCAATTTTCTATTTTACCTATCACAACCAATGTTAGGTAGAACACTACTAAATTTTAAGAGTAAGTATTACACAAAACTAAATGCACAGCAGGAAAATTATCTTCATGCAGGAGCATTTTACCTTGGAAGCAAAACCGAAGTCTTCGTCCTCTGATTCAGGCCATGAATCATCAAGGCCAGGTTTTCTGGAAAGTGTTTAGATAAAAGTATACAACAAAATAAGTAAGTTTGTTCATTTCTTTAAAGAACAACAATAAAAAGAGGTGAATAATAAGCTACCTGTGCATTAAATAAAGGTTCTTGATATAATTAAATTTAACCTGTGTTTTAAAAAACACTTTGTTATCTATTTCTGCCTCCACCTCTTCCCACCTACGAAATATTCTATGAAGACATACACTCAGTTCCCTTACAAAAAAGACATCCAATTATTGTCCAAGCCTGAGATTACATTGGTTTCACTAAAAGTCCTGAAGCCCGAATTGCAAATTGAGATAATAGTTGATGTAACTTCTGTAACCTGAATTAGAACAAATTGGATGACCTAAACCAATACCCCTTCTCCATTGTTTGTCCCTGCCAGTCAAAAATCGCAGCCTTGGTTCTTTAGCATGAAAACCACTAACTATATGAGGTGATCCCATTCCCTCCTTTTACACTCAGACAGTGCAGAGTTTCCTGAAATGTTTGAAATGGTGGAAAGTTAAATGTAACAAAGTCAAAGAACAAATGTATATGCTGTTACCCTTCCCACTCCCAGATCCCTCTTCCACAGGGCTCCATGGCAATCTCCAACCCGTAAATTTGCAGCCTCTGAAGGCACAGACGCCTGAAAAAAATGATGGACTTGAATGACCAAGAGCAGGAGCTCTCTATTTCCTTCCTTCTGGAAAATAAGCTAAATAGAGTCTTAGTCATCCACCCCTTACACAAGCATATTTCCAGCTACCCAACTCCATTACTGATTTGACGGTCAGTCCCAAGCTTGCACAACCCCCCATGTACATGGGAAGGACATAAGCGAATTAGGAAAGAGGTGGAAGTGAGGAGACGCCTGCCTTGGTCCATGGATCTAAGTAGTTCAGCAACCTCCAATCCCCTAGGACTAATGGATATCTCTGCCGCACTCTGTAAATCAAGATGCAGGTAGATGATATCACATTCCTATGTGCTCTAAAGAGAATCTTTTCCAGTGTCTCAAATTATTTGATATCTTTTGATGGAAATGAATTTTTCTATTTCCTCGGATACAAAAACAAGCCAAAAAGCAGCAACCTGTTCAGGATTCCCTTGAACCCTTTATTTTAATCTGTCTTGCTAGGCCACTCCTTACATCCTATGTCTTTCCTTTTTGTAATTTATCTTTAACTTGTCATAAATGCCAATATTCTGACCTCTTTTACCTAATCTGATCTCTGATGTCTTTTCTAAAGTCCTTATTCCTATCCTAACCCAGTGCTGTTGCTCTGGAAACTTGGATTTTCCTGCTAATTCATTCCTACCCTCTTCCACTGTGTTCACTAGACCTACTGTCCCCACTTTGCTAATATTAAAAAGCTCACCTGCAGGTTGATAAAGAAAGAAGAATCCTGGGCTTAGAAACCTGAGGTTTTAAAATCTTATTTCTGTCGCTTACTGTATCCGAATAAATCACTTTAATCTCTTTGAGTTTCAGATTCTCCATGTGAAAAACCACTAGGCCAGGATATTACACACAGGTTGATGTACTATAGGGTGTTTTGATTAATTAATTGCTAAGATTCCTCAAATTTCTGAAATTCGGTATGCTTTTGAGTCTGTAGAAAATGAAGAATTCTTAGCTGGCAGAAGTGGAAAAAAATAACGGAATGAAAGAAACAACAAGACGAGCAGAGAGGGTAAAAAATCAAAAGCAGAACCAATGGGACTCAAGGCCCTGTCCAACGAGAAGAGTCTCACGACGCAGCGGCAGATCTTCAAGGACACTAGCGCAGCCACCTCTGCCAGGACACAGCTGACAGAAATGAAGCGCACTCTATAGCTCCTGGAGATGGCGCTGCGGTCCCTCCTGGCAGTGAAACACTCCCTGGAGCGCTCCTTGTCAGAGACCTAGGCAACGACTGTGCACAGTCGGCCCAGATCCGGCCCAGATCCAGGCTCAGAGCCGGGCCCTGGAGGAGCAGCCGCACCAGGTCAGAACTGAGACCGAGGGCCAGAAACTGGGCTACGAGCAGCTCCTGGATATCCAGGTCCTCCTGGAAAAAGAAATGGAGACCTACTATGCCTGTTAGGTGGAGATGGAAACTCATGCTCTAAATCAAAGGGCTCTGGATCAGGAAGCTCAGTGAATTCACCCAAAGATGTAGCCAAAACCACACTGGTAAAGACAGTGGTTGAAGAGTGAGATCAACGTGGTAAATTCCCTTCATCGAGGATTCACTCTACTGAAGGAAAACATCTAAAATGATCTATGACAATGCAGAATAAGTGTTTCTCTCTAGCTGTCATTTCTGAGAAAAGAATAATTTGGGAAAGAATCTTGAACAATTGCATTATTCTAAATATCAAAGAGATAATAAAAATACTTTCTACCCTTAAAGACGAGTTACTTAGCCAAAATAAATTTTCTTAGTTATCTTTTGCAGGAAGTTGGGTGTTTGTTTTCAAATAAATAAAAAGGTTGATGTGCACTCATTTTCATTAACTCATGACTAATAAATAATTATTCTCAATCAAAAAAGAAATCTCATAGAATAAGAAAATAAGGTTCTAGAGAAAAAAAGAGAAGAAACTTCACAGAAGTAAGCAGAGATACTAGCCCGAGGAAAAAACCAGACTGGGAAGACAGTAAGTAGAGAAGTCAATTACAAATAGCCTCTAGATAGATACTGAACTTATTAACATAGTACGATCTATACATAGATATTCTTCACTTACAGAGTAATAATTCACCTCAAGAAGACTAGACATCATTACACTTAAAAAAGACTTGCCTGATTAGGCCTTGCTTATGTAAAACCTAGGGTTCTGTGGCCATAGCTGACTGAGATTTGCCCTAGTTACCACTTCAGCTGTCCAGTATACTAAGATAAATACTTAGACTAACTGGGTTTTGTGGGAAGACTCTAAGTCAGCGTCAACACATAACTAAATTTGACTCTCTGAACATGTAATTAAGTTGAAGACTTTCTGAGATGATACAACTTGAATCTGTATATTAATGCCAGTGCTGCAAAAGAACTTATCAGTATAGGCTGAGGGACAAGATGATGGATTTGGGAGCAAAGCAAGCTGAAGACCAAATCAGGGGCCCACCACTTGTTCACTATGGAATCACAGGTCAGTGAATCAACAGCCCTGACCCACAATTGCGTAATTGATAAAAAAAAAAAAAAAAACAGGCTATAATAGCATAGCTACTTTGCAAACTCATTGTGATGACACTATGCAGTAACAAATATCAAGCACAGATGTAGTGTTTATCCCACAATAGAATACCCAACAAGTGTAACTTCCTTTACTCTGAATTCCCCTAGAAAACATATAATTTTTAAAAATCCATAAAATTCTACCTGCTTACAGAGTCTTCTTCAGAACTCTCATTCCCTATTAAAGAAAAAAAATTAAAATACATTTGAAATCAAGAATAGAAAAATACATGACTATAAAAGTATCAGACTGATACTTTGTTAAGAGGTATACCTTTGAGACCACACCTGAAGACTATTTTTGAATAAATATTAATGATACTATTGACAGATAATTACTATATTAATTTTTACTTCTTCTCCTTTATATATGTCAAATGTAAGAAAAATGGAATGGGGAATATTACTCAGCCATAGGAAGTGATGAAATACTGCCATTTGCAACAACATGGATGGACCTTGAAATAATCATACTAAGCAAAATAAGCCAGACAGAAAAGGTTGAAAATCACTTGATATCACTTATATGTGGGATATAAACCTAAAAGCAACAAATGAATAGGACAAACAAACAGAGACTCATGGAGATGGACAATCGACTAGTGGTTACCAGAGGGGAGGTGGACCGGGGAAAAAATTAAAAAAATAAAATGTTAAAAATAAATAAATAAAACACACACACACACACACATACACACACACTCACACACACACACACACACACATAATGGAATGGGTTTTTCCAAATTCAATACTTACAATGATGATAATCCTAACCAAACTGAAGCAAACTGACAGAATATGGTATCATTAGTAGAATCAGTATCATAAACTAACAATGTCAACTTCAGTAGCATGATTTCTCTGGACTTCTGCCATGAAGAACATTTAGGGGAGAGTATACTTATTGTGCTGTAACACATTGCACTTTCTCTACCTCTTTAGTCAAGCCTGTTCAGTTTAGGATGAAAAGCCCTATTCAGGAAACGTGGTCTATACGTACTGCACTCTGCAGCATGGCAAAACATAGGAAAGAGACACTTTCTGGCCGAAGACTGCTATCCTCAGATATCCCGTTTGAATGGCTCACCCATGATCGGTGCCTGGGAACCTGGTTGAGGGAGGGTTCCACCACTCCTTAACTGACAAGAGTGGCTCACTGGGCCTCGACTGCCTGTAGAAACAACGTGGTTCATGCTGAGCACCTACTTTCTTTGGGGAGTCTGGAATTTTGGTCGATGCTAGGGGGAGGATGCCTATGTGACTAGTGTGCCATAAAACCTCAGGCAATGAGCCCAGTAAGACTCTAGTCCTGGTAGACAATGTCTCACTTTTGGTGTCAGGATTGGACATGGGTGGAATTAAGCGCATCCTGGGAACTCCGTAGAGAGAGGACTCCTAAAAGCTTGAGCCTGGTTTCCTCCAGACTTTGTCCCATACACTTCTTCTCTTTCCGATTTACCCTGATTCTCACTGTAATAAATCGAAGCCATGAGTACAGCTATATACTGAATCCTGTCAAGTTTTCTAGTGAATAACCAAACCTAGGTGTGGTTTTAGAAACCTCAAACAAAATTAAATTATATAAATTTTTTATTATTTGGGTTATGAGTTATACATGATTAGAGTCAGAAGGTTATTTCACAGATTACCTGTACTTGAAGTTGATTTTCTAGGTACTTGTTTTGGAGATTCCTGTAATTCTATTTCTATTTAAATAAAGATATAAACAAGATAAATAAAACAAAGATGTCAGAGAATAATGTGAAACAAGCTACAATATTAATCAGCATTTACATATATAGTATAATAATATACTACTGATGGTATTATTCTTTTTGTTTCTAATATTTTTTCAATTTCTTATAAAACTAAAAACACGCCTCATCTATTAAAAGGCAGAAGTTGACTAAACAAGGCAACAAGATAAAAAAAATTATATCCAAAATGTGAGATGAGTCATCTATGGATATCCCATCAAACTTAACAGGTATATTGAAAAACGTCCTTGTCTTCCCTGTTGACCTGCTGCTCTTCTTGTTCATCTGACAAGTCCTTCTCATTCTTCATGTCCAAGTGAAATGCTACTCAATCACCTATGAATCACCTTAGATTTCTCTCTCCCTGCTAACTTTTTACATTCCATCATCTCTAAATTTTATTAACTGTACCTCTTTTCTGTCTCTGCTTCATTTTGCCAATGCCACTACCGTAGTCAAATACAAGCTCTTAACAGATGATTTTCACAGGAAAAAAAGGAAACACCAACTATTATTGCTATTTCTTAAATGAATATGATTATTTTCAGCAACACAAATGAGAAAGACATAACTCTAGAAAAAGACCAGCATTTTAAATGGAATAAACTGAGCTTCTTAACCTTTTTTAAATTTCAGCATGGATGAGTGACAACTTGATAATGTATCGATGCTAGTAGAAGGAAGCAAAAGCTCCCTTTGTCGGCCTGTCTATGTGTTTTCGTTCAACCTCTCTTTTCTGTGAGAGGACAGAAAACCACAGGTCACATCCAACCTGCTATCTGTAAATAAAGCCTCACTGGAACACAGTCATGCCTATTCACTCACTTTCTGTCACCACATATTGTCTGTAACTGCTTTCACATTCTAATGGCAGATTTGATTAGAAATGACAGAGACCAAATGGCCTAAAATCAGGACCTTTACAGAAAAAGCTTGCTGATCCCTGCTTTACACCATACCAGAGTGTCTGAATCAAATTTAATCTTCTCACACTTCTGCTCAAAACTCCAGTGAATCCCTGCAGTAACTAGTGTTGGCCCCTTACCCACTGGCCATTCAAGGAATGAAGGTAATAATATCATGTGAGACTTTGTTATTAAAATATGTAAAATAATCTATGCTTTTCAATGAGCTATTGCTTTTCTGACTTCTATACTATCATTAGATATCTTTTAAAATCAATCTCATTGGGATTGCTGTACACTGGCTAAGTTTTGTGGTTCTATTTGTTTGCCATTTGTTTGTGGTACTGAGAAGGTATTGTTGAGTTCCTAGTTTTAATCACATTTTTAGTGAGGCAAATCACTATATAATAACAGATGTTAATTTGCTAAATGTGATGCATTTGCTGTAAAAATTCTGCAAAAGACTCATTTTTATAACAAGTCCAATTTGTTGCATGGTGATTAAAGAGGAAACATACAATACAGTAACTTAAAAATTTTTTTTTTATTTATTTACACAAAGATATATAGGATTCTAGCAGTCAAGACTAAATAAATGAATTTCTTTTCACATATTTGCATCTCTGATTTTAAATACATACGATTATCTTCTTTAATCATTCAGAAGCTAGACTATTAAGAAATTAATTAAGAACGAAAATAAACATGTAATTTCAACATTATTTTTTTTTCACTTCTCTTTCATTTGTAAAACTTCCTTCCTTTTATAGTAAAACCACCAAGAGTAAGGAACTATCAGAAGTATTACCTGGATTGCTATTCTGAGAAGACTCTTCACATCTCCTTTGTTCTTCATATTCAGAAATTAGTTTGCAATTGCTGTGTATAAAAAGGTGATAAATAACATTACTATCTTTACTGAAATGAAAAACATTTACCAAATATATAAAATTCTTAGAGTATCTCAGATGATATCAAAGGTAATAATAACACTTTAATTATTCTATACACTTCAATTTTGTAAGTTCTACAAAATTTAAGCATGTGATAAAAAGAGAGGAAGATCAATCAGTCATGAATTGAGAGCAGTAGATTTCAATTAATTACACATATTTTGACATAATGGTGACTGTCTTAAACTTCAAAATCCTAGCTCTAGGAGCAACAGCAATTTGTTCTGGAACAAGTCGCTTCTTTGTGGCTACAAGTCCTCTTCTATAAAACAAGGATCTTACTGCCTTATTTACAAGGTTGTTAGGAGAATTAAATGAGATAATACACCAAAAAGATGCCCAGAATAATATTAATGCAATGGATAAGATTTTCTTGAACTTTATTTGTTAAAACTATTTTGGAATCCTCAATAAACCCCAACATGCATTTTTTCATAGGTGCTAACTTTCAAATGTTACAGTGGTTGAAAATGTTATTAATTTTTTTGTTATAAATGTCTACGGCCATGCCACCCTGAACAAGCCTGATCCCATCTTATCTCAGAAGCTAAGCAGTGTCGGGCCTGATTAGTACTTGGATGGGAGACCACCTAGGAAGACCAGGTGCTAAAGGCATAAAAAATAAAAAAAAATAAGGGATTGTAAGCTGACAAGGTCCTTGTAATCTGTGAGGTCAACCTAGGGTTGCTTCACCAAAAAAAAAAAAAAAAAACGAAAAAACAAACACGTTATTAATTTTGATTATGAGTTATACATGATTAGAGTAAGAAGGTTATTAGTTGTCCTTTAATGTGGTTTGTAATTCAGGGCATCTCGGCTGTTTTATAATATGTAACTAAATATATTTATAAATATATTATCTCATTAAGTCAGATGACATAAGTGTCCCCTGTGATTGCAGCTAACCACACTAAGGACAGAAACCTAATAGAGGTCAAGACCTGGCTTGTACTACTACTACGCTTTTACTGAGTACTCAATTTCTGAAACAGCAGATCTTTTTAGAAGGATGCTGACACTGTCCTTCCCTAACTGACTTGGAAGATATAATCCTGCATTTGTACATGGATATTGATGAGTTATACATGAGGCTTAGCTACTCTGATGACAAACAACCAACTTTAGATTCAGAGCTTTCTGTTGCATGGCTTCCATGGGAGGCACAATTATAAATATTTTATAACCTGAGGTTGATTCAAGATACTTGGTAGATTTTCATTTATTTATTTTTTTATGGTGATATTGGTTAAAGAAATCCAATAAGTTTCAGCTGTACACTTTAACAATAAGCATATATATATTTACACTGTGTGAAATTTCTTTCTGTCCCCTTTTACCCTGTCTGCCTTCCCCCTCCTCCTACCCCCTACTCTTTGGTAATCACTAGTCTATTGTCCATGTTCCTGAGTCTCTGTTTGTTTGTCCTATTCATTTGTTACTTCTAGGTTTATATCCCACATATAAATGATATTATGTGGTTTTTAACTTTTTCTGTCTGGCTTATTTCATTTAGCATGATTATCTCGAGGTCCGTCCATGTTGTCGCAAAAGGCAGTATTTCATCTCTTCTTATGCCTGAGTAATATTCCATTGTATATATGGAATATTAGCTGTACCACAGCTTCTTTAGCTAATTATCTATCATAGGACACTTTGGTTGCTTCCATGTCCTGGTCACTGTGAATAATGCTGCTATGATCATCAGTGTGCAAATATCTTTCCATATATGGGTTTTCAAGTCTTTGGGTTAAATACTCAGTAGAGGGATTGCTGGATTTTATGGTAGATCAAAATCCATAAAATCAGTTTTTTGAGGACCCTCCATACTGTTTTCCATATTGGCTGTACCAAGTTGCAGTCCCACCAGCAGTGTATGAGGGTTCCTTTTTCTCTACATCCTCTCCAACAGTTGTTATTACTTGTCCTGTTGATTATAGCTATTCTAACAGGTATGAGATGGTATCTCATTGTGGTTTTAATTTGCATTTCCCTAATAGCTAGCGATGTTGAGCATCTTTTCAAATATTTGTTGGCCATTTGTATGTCCTCTAGGGAGAAGTATCTGTTCAGGTCCTCTGTCCATTTTTTGATTGGATTGTTTTTGTTTTGGT